TTTACACAAATTGTGGTAAGTTCGTGGGCTTACAGTGTTAAAAATTATGGTTCGTTATCTGCGATGGGTATAGCGCAGAGAACCAATATGTCTCGTGCGTGTGTGTGTGTGTTTCTTTTGTAAATTTGAAAAATAATCAAACTATAAGGATCTATGTATTAATAAAATTACAATTTACAAAAATAAATGATTATATTTTTTAGTCGTCAATAGATGAAGAAATAAAGAAATACAACTTTTTGTGATTATTCATTTTGTTTTCAGCTGAGTTCAAACATTACCCTGCATAGTAAACAAGGCTAGAACCCGAGAATGTTGCTATTGTTGCTTTATTAGCACAAACTTATACAATGGGCTATCTGCGCTTTGTCGACCTCGGGGAATCGAACGCTGGGTTTTAGCGGGACAGAACCCGAGGGTCATAAGTTTTGTGAAAATAGAACAAAAGACAAGTGGTTGCTTAAATGTAAGAGAAGACAGAGTTGCTGAAACTAGATTACACTTTGGAAAAAGAAAATTATTTGATTCTATTTGTCTTCTGCGCTAAATACAAGTAATTATTATTCTTAGCACCTGAGAAACTAACATATGTTTATCTAAAAACTCGTTGTTTTGACTTGTCAGTCTCAGAGAAGACAATTTAAATGTATCTCAAGCTATAGAAAAAAAACTCTCAGTCAAATATTAATTAAAACGTGTCGTCACTAAACTTTTAAAGTTGAAGCTATCAGTGTTTAATACATCCCTGAATTACTAGCTGAAAACTGTTATCAAGAGAGAAAGAATGTCTGGAATTAAATGTTTTGGCTTAATAGAAAAAATTTAATTATATAATATAATAGGGCGTGTCATTGTATTTGTTTTACACAAATTAAAGTTATAATTTATCGATTGAAACTATAGTCAGACTCCTTATCAGATCAGTGAGGAAAAAAAAGTTCTAGGAATAGAAGAAAAAAATGTCTAGTTTCAAAACAATGAAACTTACAGACATAAAACTAGAGAGAGAGAGAGCGTTTACGAATAGCCAACAGAACTACAAACTAGCAAATGAGTTGAATTAAGACACGAATATGAAGAACCATGGTTTATGAAAAACTTAAGTTTTTAGACATAGTAGTTTCGCATGATAAATTCGCCAAAATTTTTTACATATGAAAGAAAAAATCCATGCTCTCAGCTAAACTAAATAAAATTAATATTAATGAGCACATATGGACCACTTATTGCTTAATTCTATAATCTCAATAATAAGATTGATTTCATTCTGGTGAATTGGTTTAAAAACATTATTGCAAATGTATAAAGTATTTGAAACACTTATTGATGGGGATAGTAGATTTATTTGAATACAACGTTTCGTCTGGTTCTTCGAATGTTCTTAGAGACGAAACGTTATGTCCAAATAAATCGATTATTCTATCAACAAGTCAAAAAAACTTGACATATGGTCAACAATTAAGTGGGTACATTTTAAAAAGAAAAGCTTCGGAAAAGCTGTAAATGCTAAAGAAATGTATCATTGCTGTATATAGTTAACATAACTTTGTTCTTCTGTAACTACTTTTCATTTTTGTTTATCTAGATTGTAGACACCACAACTTCAATATTATAAACTAATAACTAATAAGAGCTTAAAGTGTTCAACTCTACTGGGATTGATACTTTTAATGTCATAACAGAAGATATGTACAATGCCTAAAGAACTGAATAACACAGTTAACTTACTTGTTTCTGTTCTCATGGTACAAGTATTAACTTTGATAAAATGTTTAGGCGGAGATAAGCATGCTGTTCTGAAAAACAGTATTTTGAATGTTCTTTAGCTTTTCTGAAAATTTTAACGGGATGAAAGCCTATTATTTCCCTAAATAATAATATATTTTCAGAAACATGTTAGTAGTAAGTCAGAATATGTAAAATTACCATATAGCACCTTTAGTATCTATTGTTAAAATTTTTTTGTCTTATTAAAAGAATGAGGTTTTGTTGTGTATTAGACCAAAATTTTCTATTTTTGAGATATAGTTCGATAGATGAGTAATTCTTTTCATAGTACTTATTGTGTAAGTGTCAAATATTTTCTAAAATAAAAAAGATAAAAGGAGTAGCTTAAATGCGCTATGAATTTGTTAAACAAATTTCCGATAATCATTCCTGCCTTTGAAGGTTGCGTGTTTTCTAAGTAAAAACATTGATAAGCACCAGTTACATATATATATATATATGTCCTGTTAGGGTGATCGATGTAGGAAAAATAATTCAACATAGGCAAACTGGGAGGCTATAAGATAATAGTTGTAATGTTTAAATTTCGTTAGCCGTCCCTAATTTAGCAGTGTAAGACTAGAGAGAAGGCAGCTAGTCATTATCACCCACCGCCAACTCTTGGGCTACTCTTTTACCAACAAATAGTGGAATTGACCGTAACATTATAACGCCCCCACGGTTGAAAGGGCGAGCATGTTTGGTGTGACGGGGATTCGAACCCGCGCCCCTTAGATTGCGAGTCGAGCGCCCTAACCACCTGGCCATGCCGGGCCCTAGTATTAATGATAAATATTTCGCACTTTGAAATAAATTGGAAAAATTCTTACATAATTATGTAAAATCAACCAATGTCTTCGTGTGAAATATTGTGTACAACACATTCCCTATTCTGACTCTGAAGGTACTGAATATTGCTGTAAATAATCTCCTACCATGCGCAAAATAGTTGTTTCTGTTTGTTGTTGTTTTTTTTTTTTGCGTGTGTTACAAACTATTAAACATCCTAATATTAATATTCAACGATCCTAGCTACCACAGTTAAGGAGCATGTGCAAAACAGCCCTTCCAACAACTCTGGAATTTACAGTCATCTAACCAAAGACTGTAGCAAGAAGCCGAAAACCGAACACTTCAAAATAATAGACTCGGCAACAGACGAATGGACATTAAGGAATAAGGAAGCGCTCCTAATTCGAAACCGAAAACCGAAACTGAACAACCAGCTAACACCACCACTGTATTTCAAACTGTGATAAACTTATCATGCTTTAGATGGACAAAGAAATACTGAAAACTTCGTCGAACAAATCTTTAAAGCTACTGCTTTCTATGGCATAAGTGGGATAATGCTGTACACAGATATTTCTAAATCAAATGGAATGAATCACTTATAAAATATTATATCGTTGCTTATATTAAGGATCTTTAACACAAATATAAAAAAGACAGCATCCTTGATCGTCCGCTTTATAAGAAAAAAATATTCTGTGAATTTTTAACTATATGACTCTCGTTTGAATACTTGTAACATAATTATTACAAACTATTATATAGTTTTTAAATCAGAGCTATGGGATGCTTTCAAATTTTAAATTGTGTTTCTATTGGGTGTTAGTTTCTAGTCGCTAGAAAATATTTCTTACCCAATAGGGTGAGGGGGAGTTTGCTTGCTTATTTGTTGTTAAGCGCAAAGCTACAAAATGGGCTATCTATGTTGTGCCCACCATGGGTATCAATATCCGGCTTTATGCGGTATGAACCTTCAGACTCGCCGCTGAGCAACTGAGGGGTGTGAGGGAGATAGAATCCCAGTAAGTAAAGGTTTATACGTAAGAAGGTAATAGCTGTTTTCTTTACCCTAAATGAAAGTTTCGTGACCTCAAAACGAATGACTGAAGGACATATCTTTCCATTAGATACATACTAATTTAAAGTATATTTTAAACGAATAAAATAAAGTTGGATTAAATATTACTACTTTACGTTTGTTGAACCATGCTCACTTGAAGTCAATTAAAACTTTTAACAACAGAATATTCTACTTAATAATGATCAAACCTTGAAGTTTTACAAAGTGAAATTATAATAGAAAGACAAAGTTTATTTTTAATGCAAACTGTTTAAATTTACCACTTGTTTTTATATATTGTGTATAACGTCAAAAATTATTAATTATTTTAATATTGTTCATTTATAAAACGCCCTTGTTAAACCAACCAATATGTAATCACGTATTTTACCTCAACCAGAATCATTAACTTCTGACGAATAAAAATACAATCAGTCTTAATACATTTACCAATTTCACTGACAGAAATGCGATATGCTTACAGATACGTAATGCGCGCATGTCTCTTAAAATGTTTAACAGGCTTTTCACTACACATATGTACAGTTGTTTTCTATTGGTAAAATATGATAATAATGGAAAACACTAACCTATGTTGATCACCTACGGCGCTGCAGTCGAAGGAAGTAAAATGTTAGAAAATAACGTATTTTACGAGGTTTACATACTGCAGAGAGGTCGCGTTGTGTTATAACGCATGATTACGTGCATGTGTGAACGAATATTGTAAATATATGGAAAGACGATAGTAACTGTGTTCTTCATGAATTGATTATCTACAGAGATATTTTTAAAGAAGCTGAATACACGTGTACGTTATTGGTCAACTAGAAAGCTCGTCATATAATACGTATATTACAAAGCAAACGATTAATTCTTGTTATTCTTAACAAACCAGTTTTAAAACATTTAGAAGATTAAACGGGCAGTCTGTAGACGTCATTATAGTGCTTCGTATGTAGTTCTTCGTTTAAATCTATAAAATGTCCTCAGCAAGAAACCAAAAAAAAAGCCCCTGAAGATAAATTTTGAATCATAGTAGCGGCCATGCCTCTCTAAATAGCCATTGTTTTCGTTACCGTAACAGTATAAATCATGTGTCATTCACATGACAATAAAAATGAATAACAAGTAGCTTGTAAAAAACGCGCAGAAAGTAAGGATTTTTGTCAATATTGTAACTTGTAAAAACGTACAAACAAGTAAGAATTTTTGCCAGTTTTGTAGCATGTAAAACCGTACAAACAAGCGAGGATTATTGTGAATTTTTTAGCTTGTATTTAGTTGTAAAAAACGAGGATTGTTGTGAGAAGAAGAAGATAATGATATTCTTAACGTATACCTGATGAGAGCAACAACATCAAGTGACTAAAGATGATAGGGCAACCAACTATTTCTGTGCTGGTTCCTACGTTGATGGTTTTTTGGAGGTAAACAACTTTTGGTTAATACAAAAAGTTCACGTATTTTCTAGTTATTGTTTCTATTAATCACAATCGAGAACTGAATACCATTCAATGATACGTTTTCCTTTAAATGGCTAGTTTCAATAATCAAAATTTATTTTGAAAAGTAAATTATCAAGTTTGTAGTTCTGTAAAAGAAGAAGTTAGTATATTATACTTACACATTCCAAAGTGTGGGCATAAAAAATTTAATAACTGCTCTTAAAAAGAATTATAAAATTATCAACATGGTCTATAGAATCTAACAAGTCCTTTCTTTTTCTTCCCTTAACATCAAACTGGATGTTAACAATTTGGAATTAATCCAACAGTCGTCGTCTATAAGACCCTTTTTTTCCCCATGTGCGCAGTATATATTGTTAATTCTGTGCAAATTATAATTTTCCCTATTTTTGGTTCAGCTATCATTTCGGCAAGTACATTAATAATATTCAGATTGGAATTAAACTAGATTTAACTGTTTATTGACGCTGATATTAAATAATACAAAAAAAATTAAAAAGGGACATTTATGCCTCAACTTTGGGAACTCTTACCTGATCGTTTAATTTTTGTATTGCATAAATTGTCGTTCAGGTTGAAAATATCAAACACTAAGTTGATTTGTCTGAAATTCTTGTATTAGCTTAAACTTTTAGGCTTAATGTAATGAATTATTAGACCAGCAATACATTAGTACCTTTACTTTTTTTTATCAATTCAGAAATTGCGAGCTATGCACCATTATGCACGTGTTTACCAAATAAATCTTATCTACATAAAAAAACGTTAGTATGTGTTTGTGTGTGTGTATATATATATATATCTGTTCCTTGTACGTTTCTACAATTCTTAATCAATCAGCAGCAAATTTTGCCCAGTGACATAGGATGACATAAGTGGGGTTGAACCCCATCTAATTTCATATTGATAGAACTCTTAAAAACAGTATGTCTTTCTTTTCAGTATTGGTACCTTTGAGTATTTTTATTGCGTTTTTTAATGTTTATTATATTAGGAAAAAAAATAGAAACACAATTTCCTATCCTTTGTTACAAACGAGTTTTTATTTCACCGTCTAATGGATGGGTACTCCAGCTGGTATAATAATAAAAGTCAAAAATACTTTCGAGAGTTTCGTCTTTAACACTAGAATAAAAACTGCAAAACAGATCTCAGGTGTATATTTTCTCACACTTATATGTTGCTATATGATTTTCATGTACGGTGACCGTATTATCAAGGCTCTTCATATTAACTTTAATATACGTTTTATTAAGTTACAGATCATATATATATGCCCAATAAAATTTTTCTTAGTACCTTCGAGACCAGCCGAAACTAGTTTGATTCTAGACAAAAATACAGCTCATTATTATAATAAGTACATCGAACGTACAAAAAAGATAATATTTGACATTGCTTTTTTGAAAACCGAAGCACTTTTATTTTTAGTGCAGCAACAGTTGTTATTGTTGTTGTTTGGAGTTAAGCACAAAGCTACGCAATTAGACTATCTGTGCTCTGCCCACCACGGGTATCGAAACTCGGTTTCTAGCGTCGTAGGTCCACAGACACGCCGCTGTGCTACTGGGGGGGGGGCTGCAGCAACAGTACCTAATGACATTTAAGATTTCCACAGAGCAGTCTCAAAGACAGGTACCACCCAATGAGAAGGCAATAATAAACTCTTTCTATTTCAGTAAACATCTTGTAATTTACTCATTTAGAAGAAAATCGAAAACTAATGAGTAATGCTTGAAACATCTGACTCCACAAATCGTAAATAGAAAACATCATGATCGAATAAACCATAATTGATTTATCAATTTTCCGTTTGTCAGCTATTGAATTTTTATATAAAAATCGGTTATGGGTTTTATACCAAACGTTTTTGGCCTGATTGTAGCTTTCAAAGAAATTGATGCAAAAATCAATATATTTGTTATATTTTGACTGAATTCGTTATGTTTCTTGTTCATTTGTACACATCAGACCAGTGTTTGTGAAAGCATGAACTCAAACACTGACCCATCCTCATGTTCTATCAAGACAACAAATTGTCTTTAATAAAGCTGTCTTTTTGGAAGATTGATCACTCTTTATCTTTTCAACAAAAAAAATGGCAGTTTTATGTTATAACAAAATGGAGTTGTATTTTCATTCTTATTTTATTGAACACACCAATAAACTTATGTGGGTTTTGAAACGTTCGTCATCTAATTTTTAAAAGGTAGACCTTTTTTTCGTGGATGAGTTTGGACTAATATCAAAGAGTCGGTACTACGGTAGTACTTGGGCAATTGTTTGCAGAACACATGAATAATGATATGGTTTTTGAAAATTTTAGTAGTCAGCTGACTGTAGATATTGAAGCGTTAGTATTAAGGTCGTTTTCTTTCTCTCCAGTAAACTATAAAGAAAGATGATATATTGTTATATCATTCAACAGAAGAAATACATTACAGGATCTTCTAATGATATTTCTGTTTATCATTTCGCATATTTTTTGTTGTTTTTAGCAATCAGCCTTGAAAGATGATACTAACGTAGTGTACATGAAAATTGGTATTCAGGAGCTTCAAAGGAAATAAAATTATTGTTTGTAAAGTTTCTTTAAAGAATTCCAAAGTTTCCTCGTGATTCACATTTTATTGTAACTTTACGCTAAAAATCAGACTGTGAAAGGATAGTTTTTACAAATTATAACGCATTATAAACGTTCTTCTATACTTGCAATAGAGGTATTATTGAAGTTTAGCTTTGCAATAAGAAGAAATGCTTGCTAGTTTATTGAAACATTTCATAAGCTATATATCAATTACATCATAAAATAACAAATAACATGAACTATAACACTAATATTCTAACAAAAATATTAGGTAACCATTTTTTCTTGATGTTGGTGTAAACTCTCAACTGAAAAAAACAACAAAAATAAACATGTATATTTATATTGTAAATTGAGTCTTTTCTGTTGTTACAGAAATATACAGTAGCTTCGATATATTGATTCAGAATTATTATTTTGATCTTCAAAGATGTGAAGACCAGAATTTTACGTATGGGGCAGAAATGTGAAATAAAACGATCTTAATGGATATATTGTTGTTACGTGGGCTAATGGACTGTGGTAAAAACCATACCTATGGGTCGTTGATTTATCAAAGGATTTTTGTTTAAAAACATTTAAGTTGATCTAAATGATAATATCTTCGTTTGAATAGAGTTGTTTAAACATTTGTTTAACAACAAGTAAAAGTTTGGAATGGTCTATTCTTTCACTGGGGGTGTGTCTGTGAGCCAGACTAGTTTCGGAGAATTCCACTTCTCATCAGTGACCCTGGACACTACCACCAAAGAAACTTCAAACCAAACCAAGTTTGATGGTAGTAAGGTATCGAAATTCGAAATGGTGTATTTAAGTGCTTTACACTCACAAAAAAGAAACCTATCATTCTATAGATATTTGAAGAAACTACTCTGGCTCACAGACACACCCCAGTGTAAGAATAGACCATTCCAAGATTTTACTTGTTGTTAAACAAATTTTTAAACAACTCTATTCAATTATGTACCAGCTGCCTAGTATCGGCTAACAATACGAAGAATAAAATTGTGGCGGAATGCTACA